AAAAGTTTGACTGGATCTGCTACGATTAAGGATTCAGAACGTTTTTGGCTCTTGAAGGTGACGATCTTTTCGGAACGTCTACGTCCGAACTGCTTCATTGTAACGAGGTCTGACAGTATTTACCATCTTAAGAAGCATAACAGCAGGGGTAGATGCTGTCAGACCCTGTCAACCGTGAGCTGTCTGATCAGTGTTCTGAAAGGGGTATACCTGCTCTAAACAGTGGTAGAATCAGGTTATGGGATTGGGGACGTGGGAGCGGCTGTGATCCGACCGATCATTGCGCCAAAGAGGTAATGGGAAGATGTCATTCAATTTGGCCTCGATAAGCACAACATCGCGATTCCCTTAGAAGGGAGTGGCCGAATCTCACAAGGAAATCGGAATTTGCTAGGGCACCTGAATGGCGGAAGAACAAGCAAAAGAGGGATTGATTGCCTTATTTGGAATCAGGAAACGCCTCGATAAGACCCTCCAAATATGATTATGTTTCCCATAGTGTAAGGAGTCTTCTGCAATGTAGTGAATGGGGTCTTACAGTAAATGATTCAAGAAGTGTCCAGAGGACTCCTTATGGCTTGCGCTCTCTCAGTTTTTGGTCTCACCGCTATTGTTTCTAGTAGTTGGATATTACTCGTCAGTAAAGCTTTTACTTGTGCATTACATTTTCTCTGACCTCACTACACGCAGCTGAATGCGAAAAGCTGCCATTATTTTGGCCTACAGCCTCTTAAGAGGGGGGGGAGGACGATTAGCAGAGCGCCTGGGGTTAAGCTATTCAGGAGCGACATTGTGAAGAAAGTGAAAGGATCAGGAACATATTCGTGCAAAGGATTCAACGGAGCGTACCGAATTCATCGTTCTCCAAGCCCGCCAACATGGAACCGCTTTCACAGGCCTCTATGTATACAGAGAGCTTGTGGAACTTTCCAGCACTGCGAGCACGCTGGATGTAAGCTGCCAATTCAGAGCGTGTCATCTGAAAGGGGAGGCAAGTCATGCAACCAAGGAAGTGTCGAATGGCTGAAAACGTTACGGGTGATCCACTCGGCATTCCCAAAAGATTGTACGCTCCATGGTCTGTATAGTAGACGAAAACGTTATCTTCTTTTGTGCTGAAAAGGCGGATTGTGCGCTACTCTTCGAAATAAAGTTTAGGGTTCTCTGAGTGGTAGAATGGCTAGAAAGCAAGCGCTCACCTTTGCAAAACTCGTCCACTTCCTGGATATGCTCCCGCAATCACAGCATCTCCAGTGAGAACTGCTTGAAAAACCACTTTGTTCACTGATGTGGTCCTAAAACGTGAGAAATAGGACTGGGTATCCTACCAGTAAGATCTAGCTCTTAGAAAACCGCGCAGCAGCTTATCTTGTCGGAAACGCGGTTTATGAATAATAAATGCTTCACAGTGAAACTTGTACGTTGATGATTGAGGAGGCTTTCTAGTAAAGTATGCGAGAAAGCACTGCTCAGACACCTGGTCCCATTCTATAGTCAAGCCTAATCTTTCAAAAGTCTTCTTTCACGCTTCTCTACGTCAATTGGCTAGTAATTCGACATCATACGACATATCACGTCATGACTCCTGCAGATGAAAGCTCATGACGCGACGTGGATTGGAGTCAGGGCACGTGGGACTTTGCGGATCCCCAGCAGGGTCTTCCGTATTTGCCTCTGTGAGGGACACTTCAGTTGTTGATTTTTTTCTCGGTTTCTTCCCGGTTCACGAGCGCTATATGTGAAGGGGATCTTCTATAGGAGGAGACTTCGAAGAGGCGGAGGGGGGGGGGTGTTTGTAAAATTTTCTCCAACGGCAGGACGTCCTCTAATTGGAGCGTATCCGGTGCGGCCCTTTTCAGCGATCACGCCGTCTTGAGCCCGCTACAACTGGTGGGGAATCTGCTCTAGCTGCGCTCCAAAATAGGCCCCGTCTCACGCCCTATCGTTTGCAGGGATCATGACTTCATGTGTCTGTAACTGAGCGCTTCGGAATTCCTAGTCAAATTTGGTGGGAAATGTCAAAGCATACAGGCATGATTTGTAAAAATCATTACATATATGTAGGTGTGAGCCAGATACTTCCATGTTGCGGGAGTTTCGTCGCGAACCCAGGAAATAGTATAGTTTCTTAGTCTGCGCCGCCTCAGCATGGCTCCCCCACACTACATACAAACTATGAGGTAAAACTGATGCGGATCTTCGGATCGCCATACCTCGTGTGAGAAGTTAAAGTTAAAAACCTCCTCAGTCAAAACGTAGCTTTCAACACATCGTTAGTTTTGGTAAAAAGAGGAAAGAGGGGACACTTTGGTAGGAGTTACTCTGTCGCTTGCAGGTGGCCGCTCCAGTGCTACATGAAAAACATGTTGCAGTTTTCTGCTCACGCCTGGTTCCCATAGCCTAAGCAGAAAATACACAACCTGGCCTTGGAACTATAAGCTTTTAGACATTTTCTCAAGCAGTCCAACCGTGAAGCTCTAGTTAGGTCGGATATGTATTTGGATCAATGAGGATCACGTAAGGGTATTCGCCTTTACTATTAGTTATCGCGCAACTGTAGTGAACAGAACGAACCTGTAGTCCACCGTCATTCCTTTCCTATAGTCAGGACCATCGGGAGAGTTATGTAGCTCACCTGGCTTGGGATTCCTGAAAATAACGCTTTCAGCAATGTACGGGGAAGTGTGAGTGCTCAAATGTTCCTGAAGCTCTGCTACTGGAGCGCGTTTCAGCACAAACAGTTCATATAATCGGAAAGCATGCCATCTAAACCCATTATGTAAGAAACCCCCAACTCCAGCCAAGAGTTGGGATCTTTTCTCTCGAATAAATGGCATTGAATAACTACATTTGGGGACCTCTGTTATGCGTGGCCATTTCCTTATGCGTGGCCATTTCCCTCGACAAAACCCTAGCGGAGAATCGTTTGGAACTTACTTTGGATCAAAGGCCACGTCATCGTACATCATTGTGACGATATTGTCGGCTGGAACTCCATGCTGAATGAGGATATGATATGCGTGGGCCACATCCGCCTGAAATCAGCGAATTATTCAGCAGGAAGTGGCTCATAATGGCTGTAGGCACCGTCCTGGAATTGTACTTATTAGGAGCGAATCGACCTATGAAGCGCTTTGTTTATAGTATAGGTAGTATTACAG